TCAGCGCTGGCGTGCTGTGCGCCGCTGCCCACGGCTGTCGCCGAGCGCTGCCGCGTCGCTCTGCGCAGCCTTCTGGCGACGCCTCACCCAGCCGCTCGAGCTGCAGGGCACGAGATGGCCGCCGTCGCAGCCGCGGCGCTCAACGCACTCGTCGCCAGCACGCCCTCGCCCTCGGTGTCGGCTTCGAAAAAGGCGCGCCGCCGCAGCGCCGCCGCCGCCGACGCCGCTGCCGACGAGGGCCCGCGACAGCTGCTGCGGCTTGGAGTGGCCGCGCTGCGGGCCCACCTGAACCAGGCCCAGCCGTCCCGCCAGGCGCAAGGCGGCGCGGGCGGCGGCGCAGGTTTCGCCGCTGCCCCCGGCCCGTCCGTCGCTCTGCTGCAGGCTTGCGCCGCCGCCGCGCGCACTCTTTCCGCGGCCGGCGGCGGTGGCGTGGGCGGCGGCGCGGCGGCGCTTTCGGAGCCGCTCAGCGCTCTGTGGGACGCTCTGCTGCCGAGCCTCTCCCACGGCGGCGCTGCGGTGCGGTGCGCGGCACTCGACCTCCTCTCGGAGCTGGAGCGGCTCGGCGTGGCGGCGGCGGACGGCGCGGCGGCGGCAGCGGCGGAGAAGGGCTCCACCGCGCGGATGCTCGAGCTCTGCCTCGCCCTCGAGGCGTCGCCGCAGGCGCCAACCTCCCGCCAGCTCGTGCTCGACGCCGAGGCGCTCACGCGCCTGGCTACGAGCGGCGGCGCGATGCCGCCCCACGCGACGCGAGCCCTCGCCTACTACTCGCTCGGCGTGCTCCGCATTCGGTTCGCGCGCGCTTGGGCGCACGCGCCGCCGCTGCTGCAGGCGATCGCTCGCTCGCAGCCCACGACGCTGTGGCCGCTAGTCGTGGACGCCGTCGCGAGCGCCCGCCGCAGCCTTGGCATCGGCGGAGGCGGCGAGCAGGGAGGCGGCGGCGCGGTGGGCGGCGGCGCCGACGCGCCCGAATACGCGGCGGCGGAAGAGGGTTCGGTGCCAGAGGGGGTGGCGGCGCTGTGGGCCGAGGTGCAGTCGGCTTGGGCCGAGGTCACCTCACCGCCGGCCGTCGAGACGGAGGTGTCGCACCTCGCGACCCAGCTGCTCAAGACGCTCGCAGCCTCGGGCCCGCTGCACGGCCTCGCGGTCCGCCACGCCGGCGACCTCATGCCGCACTGGCACGAGCTCGCGCGCGACCAGCTCCGCCTCGCGGCCGTCGACGTCCCCGCCGACTCTGATGCGATCCCGGACGCCGACGCGGACGCTAGCTCGACCTCGCGCCGGGCCGCCTCGGGC